GATTCGGCGGGGAGGGGAGGGAGGGGGGGGGCTTTGCCCCCGGACGACCTTCACCAGGGCCCTGGACCGGTTCTTTTCCTTTGCATCTCAACTTCAGTCCGCAGGCTCGAAGGCTTGGGCGCCAGGTCGAAGCAGATGCTGCAATCCGACATGACCTTGTGCCTGCGCGAAGTCCACCGCCCGGGCACCCGCCCGGTCTTGACTCTGCGAATCTGCCCGTGATCCCAGCAACACCCACACCACCTGCAGGGTACGTCATCATCTAAACTGCTGCTTCTTGCTGACTTGGGTACATGGCTACATGCCCGAGGTGTAGGGAGTCTAAATGCACTGCCTACATTCATCGTTTCGCCGCTTCTTTAACCTGATGCTCACCGGGTTAGCCACGTGAACTTAAGCAGAGCTCCACCTGCATGTTGGCATCTGGCCCAGATCGAAAGCCAAATGGATCCCGATCCTGGTAGCCATGGGCAGCCAAGTGCAGGGCGGTGCGGCCCTGGCAATCCTTTTTCAGAATATCCGCCTGGGACAGAAGCAGCATGCGTGCCACCTTGACATGACCCCGCAGCGAGGCCAAATGCAAAGGCGCCATTCCCATCCGGTCACACGCATCCAGGGACGCGCGTCTCCTTAGCAGAGCCTCTACTACCGGAGCATGGCCGTTGAAGGCCGCGTGCAAGAGAGGCGTCGACCCTTGAAGATCATCCTGATGCTCGACGTCGGCTCGGGCCAGGAGCAGACATTCCACCACGGAAGGGTGGCCATAGAAGCTGGCTTTTTGCAGCGCGGTGGCATGCCCGTCTCCAATGTCGGCCTTCTGGGCCAGCAGCCACGAAACGACCGCTTGGGCGCCGTAGGTCGCAGCCTCGACCAAAGCACTGCCCAGCAGAGCAGTGGACCGCATGCCGCATGCCGCGGCCATCTTCACAAGCATCTCCAGCACCGACACGTGCCCTCGATGGGCTGCAATCTTTATCATGTCAGACAGAAGCTCAAAATCTTCATGCAAACCAGGAGCAGCTGCTGCCAGAATTTGTGCAAGGATGTTTACGTCGCCTAAACGTGCGGCCAGACATGCTGCTCCTCTACTTCTTGCCGGTGTCCATGCGTGGCTGGAGAAGATCAGTCGGCCGAAGTCTCCATCAGCTATGGCATGCATTTCGTTCGTCCACGACTTGCTTCCGTGAGAACCCTCCCAGCCTAGCGCCAGGCTGTCATCGAGGTTCCAAGTCGCATGCCACCAGCCTTTGGGCAGATACATAACTTCACCTGGCTCGAGTATAGCGACTTGCAATCCACGTGGTGGCTGACGGGTGTACCACCAGGGTGGAATCGCTGGCGGCCTTGGCGAACCAGGTGGCAGTAAAAACCACACCTTCCGGCCCACTAGTTCGGCCAGCCAGCTCTCGTGGTGATGATGGAATCCGACCCCAGTGTGGCGACGCCCGGCACTGAAGATCGGTGCCCCGTGGATTCCCGAGAGCGGCGCGGGAATGGCATAGATGCCCCGTAAAGCAGCATGCACCGAATGATAATCGTTTTCGAAAATCACACCCTTGGAGGTTCCGGCGCTGAAGTATTCGCTCAACGACATCACTTGATGAGCAGGCCCAGGATTCCCATACTCGTGTAGTGAAGCGCAGGGGCGGGTGCGGAGGGACGTCTCACTTAAGCAGCTGCAGAAATCTCGTATCTGCCATCTTCGACACCTCCAGTCATCGATCAGGCCCCTTATCCTCAACGGCCTCTGACTCTGGCCGTTCAGCTCTCCGAGGCTGGAGGCCGAGAGCTCCACCGGCTCCAGCTTCGGCCTCCACTCCTCCAGCTCATCCATCTCCTCGCGGGTCGGCATCACCCAACCCCCGGAAGGAGCCAGTGGGCACCGAAGCTTCGCATCGGACATGGCCATTTCACGCCACGCACATCTATGCGCCCTGTGGCTGCGTTGCTGGCGCGTCGGCGGGTTTCTGCTCTCACTTCCTGTCCTGGCGTGCGCGAGCGAGCAAGCACTGAAGAACTTGAGCCGGACCCGGCAAACCCCTGGAATTCAAGACACTTCTCTGCGCAGGCTGCTTTCAGAAGCAGTCCGATGCCACAAGGAGCCCAAACAGCATCGGGAGCACGGTTCATTGACCAGGTAGAAGAAATCTTGGTCGTGGAAGGCTTCGTAGGTCCTTCAAAAGAGAGGTCGAGCTGTGAAGTCTTCAGCTTCAGTGGTGGACGCTTGGCTCCGTCCAGTCCTTGCCACGTGCACATTATCAAATTCTCTCATTCTGTGAAACTCTTCCTTAGCTGCGGCAGACGCTTGCTGACAGCCCTTCGCCAAACCAAGTGTTCAGATGACTAGAAGAAGCAGATTGCCAGCTATTGCACACAGACAGCTAAGAACTGAGACAAGTGGCCAGAATTTCTTGCAATCCTTCCCGGGATCTAGTGCCGACATCGAACATCGAGTGAACCGTCCGAAGCAACTGCGAGCCTGCCTCCGGCGTTTGAATTCTTCTTGCTGTAGAACTTGATGCAATAGGACGGGCCGCTGTTGTGACCACCTCGGAACAGCTGAACCAGCACCTAGGTGGCACTCCTGAATCATGCAAAACGAAGTGGGCTCACCTCCACTCAGCGATCCCCTTTGAGACGGTCTAAAAACCAAACTCGGGCCCGTTCCGCTACTGGACTCAACTCTAGCCGGAGTCTCGCCAAACGACGACCTGCCATCATCTTGACTGAGGCCAAACTCGGGCCCTGAATGCTGAACCCTCAGCTGCTTGCAAGGCGCATGCAGAACAGTAGTCGAGCCAGGAGAAGTTGTCCTCCTTCTTGGCCAAATACATGATGCCTCAGGCAAAAGGCCCCGAAAATCCCGGCACTGGACCAGACCCACTACCCAAAGCGGCGAGAGCTCCCTTATCTAAGCCCCTAAATTCCATTCCTCAGCACACCCCGAATTCCACCTACTGCCTGCTTTCTGCTTTCGTGCCCATGTCACCTTGGCCACCGCGGCCAAGTTCACGCACCACCGTGTAGCCACCATCCTGGGCAACCGAGGCCACAGGGCTTTTGGCGGAAGGGACCCGGGAATGAGGCCCTGGTAAAAACCGAAAGAAGGATCCTCAATACGAGGTGCAACGCACGCTTTACGATGCCCAAACCCACAGAAGCACAAGAACCGCTTATATACTGATACCACGGTGGGGATGGAAATTCCACTAGGACGTTGGGGGAAAATACTGGTGCGTGTTGCGCATTTCCTTTTTACAGTGGACGTTTGTCCAGGCGCCTCTCGTTCCGAAAACGCGGCAGTCGTGATGTGCGTGTGGTAACCACTCGTGTTCTGGCATGTTCATACGGCGTTGTGAAGGAAGGTTTCACCATTCTCCTTGCCCTGCATCCCTCACAGTGGCTACTGCACACGCCCCGAAAGCCCAGGAAACCTCATGACAAGGAAGCAAACCCGTCCAGAACCTGACAAGCACTCTCTCCAGGCGCCTCCAGTGTCCTCGCCGGGAACTCATCAAACTTCGCGGGCCCGGCGAGAGACCAGCGCCATTCCAACAAGGTCTTTTTCACCATCACCCTCCTTGGCTCCAGTCAGCTCAGGGCTGAGAGGCTGTCTGATGCCATTCTTCACCGGGAACCCAACCCCGTTTACCACAAACCATATGGGAGTTTCTGAAAATAGGGGACCCTAATATGGTACCCTAAATAGTAGGATCCTTATTGTAAGAACCCCTAAATAAGGTACCCCTAGTTTTCGGAAACTCCCATATCAGATCTGCACGCTGCTTTGCACGATCAGGGCCCAGCGGCACCTCTTCCAAGCTCAATCGGCCGCTGCCAGTGAAGTCAAAGCTGGAGAACGTCTCTGGAAGGGTACCTCGGAGTAGGGAGTTAGCGTGAGGCAGGTGGAGGGAGGGGACAACCTTGAGAAATCTCCCTCGGCACAAGCCACGCGCAGCAGAGGAGCTGAATAGGAAGTCCGGAAGCTCGAAATGCCGAGCCTTCTGCTGATCACGTCAACTCCAGGCCCTCCCTGCATCGCACACGAGAAACGAGAAACTCAGGCAAGGGGCCAGGTCCGCCGTGAAGTTGATGGCCTCACCCAAGCTCAAGGACCTGCCCACACGGCCGGACAGTGTCCTCTCCCACAAACCCGGAAGCAAAGAAGACTGTCTTTGAAAGCGGTTCCTGCCTTCTGCCCATCGTGTCCCTGCTGCTGGCATAGCGGTGGAAAAAGAACATGACCTTGGTGTTCCGCGTCAACCTGGCCACTGCAGGTTCACCCCCCAAACGTCCTGGTGCAACCCGGATGTCTCCTGTTGAAACTCCTGACCCATTCTACACAAATATTATGTGTATGTATATATATATATATATATATACATATATACATATATACATATATACATATATATATATATGTGTGTGTATTTTTGTCTACACATATGTACATATATATATATATATATATATATATACGCAAGCCCCAAAGGCCCCCGAACTGTCCTTTGCTGCAGGCAGCGGTCCACTGCCAGGAGGATCTGGCCATTGGGATCTGGCGCGCTGGCCATGGCCCAGAACCGAACTCAAAGGTTTTTCATAAGGGGTTTTGGGCTTGGCTCTCACGCTCACTCATAGGCAGTGCCGGTGTAGAGGGCTTAGCTCAGCGGCCACGACCCCAAACAGACAAGACTGGTGTGAATCGGGTGGCTGATGGGCAAAACTGGGGCCATTCCATACATCTCAAGAACCCCTGCGGCTGAAAGACCAGTCCCTCTGCAATGTCGGATGCACTGGGTAGGGCATGTGTCTAGCTGGCATCCTCTAGACCGTAGTTTCCCGGCAAGGGCTGCTCAGCGCTCGCGTTTTGGACGAACCCTTCCGGGCAACAAATTCCTTGCCGCAAAAGTTGAATGGATGATCCGGCTGTGGGCAAAGAAGAGACGAACGAAGGAGCGTGTTATTCCACCATCCCACGCGAGACTCGGGCACTCTGCCGCTCAATGGAACTCAGTTCTTGGCAAAGCGGCCGCGGTGTCCCGCGGGCACTGCTGATGATACTTAAGATTCCTGCAACAAGGGGCCCATGCAGGGGCTCAGAACAGAAACAGAAAGCTGGCTCAGAAGGCGCCGCACCTGTCACCCAGCTCCAGCTTGCAAACCAAGGATGCTTGCGGGACGATCAGCAAGCTTTGTGCCTTCCCATCTTTCTCAGACTCAAGAAGCAACAAGTAACAGGTCACTGCGTGATGAATCGCGGAGGCCTCGCCCCGGGAGCATAGCTTCAGCACGGACTCGGCATCGGCGTGGTCACTTTGCCACTGCCCTGGACGCAAGCCCCCTCGTGGACTCGACCCTCTGATATCGTCCACAAAGTATCTACGCTTTATGCGCCATCCCCTTTTTTCAAAAGAAGACCTTGCGTTTTCCACAGGTGGTGCTTGGAAAGACCTAGGCCGTAGCCGGGAGGAGTCTGCACCTCCCCAGTATTGGCTTGGACGCATCCTTCCTCAGGGGCCCTGCTGAAGGTTTTCTGCGCCGTGGCCTGATGACGAGAGCGGAGCCGTCAGCAGCGACTTCGCTGCTTGCTTCAAACAGCGAGCCTGGGGCGGCATTGCAAACTAAATGTATGGTACAATATGGTTGACAGAGCAGAACATAGTATATGATGCGGCAAGTGTCGGATACGGGTCGGATACAAAGCTGACGTGGGATGACGATTCAAGCCTTCTCAGACTGTGGCGACAGCCCGTAAAACAGATGTACTGAAACGAGACCCCAGCATCCCCGAGCAAGAGAATCAAGAGAGCAGTTCTCGACGATGTTCTGAGCTCCGCGCGGCGACTTCGCCTCAGACGGCTTTGCGACATGACCAAAAGAACTTCGCTCTGACAGTTTAGACATACAGCATCGCAGCAGAAACAAGCCCCCCACTGTCAGCGCCTGCCTGCCGGCGATCGGGTAGAGGCTAAAACTATGGCGAAATCGGACATCGGATGCCTCTGAAGCGGCACCTTTGGAGAAGGAAACCTGTGAAGGCCCAGGTCTTCCAAAAGGTTAGCCGAGTACCTCCTGTTGCTATGGTTGAAGCCGAGCTGCATGTAAAACCAGGCCTCTTCCAACTTCTGCCCACTTGTCCTCCCAACCACACACAACGGAATGCTACGAGTTCTAGAGAAAGACGCGTGAAAGTTGCGTGTGCGAACTTAGTTGTAATTGCACAGAAGTTCCAGGGGCTAAACGGCTAAACGGAACGCCACAAAAGCCACCAAAGATAGGAAATCCTCCCCACATCTGAATCCTCCACCAGTGACCCCTACCGCTCCACGGAAGAAAGCTCTCAAAACTCCGTGGCTGCGCCCAATCCTCGGACTCTGCCAAAAGAAGCCGAGCCTTGGAGCAGCGCTGAACCACCTCAGAGTTGAGTCAGATTCTATACTATGTCGTATTATATTTTACTGTGTCATACTATGAGATACTATATCAGACTATGTCATGCTATGACACACTATAGTTTACTACATCATGCCATAGTAGACTATGCTGTACTATATAATACGACATCATGCGACCATCTATGTATATTCTATTGGATTATACTGTAACATTCTGCCGTATCGTGTTAAATTAAGTATACTCCATTGATTGTACATTTTACAGAACCAAACTGTTTCCACAGTACTCAGGGACTTTGGTTACAACCAAGTGAAGAAACCACGAAGATCGCCCCAGGCAGCGAAAGGAAGACACTGCGCATGAGATAGCTTTTTTGGCAGGCTTCGCAGACACGGTGGCAGATTCCTCGTTGCGTTTCAAAGGTCCACCATCTTCCCTAACATCCAACACCGCGCATGAGCATCGTGAGTTGAAACTTGTGCCAGGAGTTTTGAAAAAAGTATTGGAATGCATGGAGCAGGGGATGTCATGCGCAGGAACCCCTCGGGTGCTCCGAATTTTTTTGCATGCCTATGGAAAAAAGCTTAAATGTGGGAGCCGCGCCCCCAGTAGCAAAGCACGTGAGGATTGAATCAAAGGCGCTCGAGACATTCTCTGTTTTAAGCGCTAGCTGCGGCACAAAAGAAGCAGGGCTAAAGGCCCTGCTTACATTCTGACCAACTATGGAACCGGATTCCGTCAGACCTCAGTGGCACAACGACCTCAGATGTCGCAGCGTATCGCAGCGTATGGCTCAAAACTGCGAAGCGCAGCTAGTCTCATCAGGCCGGCAACATATATAGCAGCCCAGGAACGTTGAGAATTGACTGGAAAATCATATACTTCACCTTTCCGCGGCAATGGAAAGAACAAGATGCAAAAGCAGCCAACACTTCACAGGAGGCTCTTTGACATCGTGGTTGGATTTACCGACACTGCAACGTAAGGACAGTGACATCTCGTTTTCGGTCTCTTTGCCATACATTGGGGGTCTTGGTGCAGCCCGGCCGCAATAGAGAGCTTCGCTCGCTCTCCGGAAGCTTTTCAAGAAGAGCCTGACAGCAACGTAACGCACCTAGGGGCGTACTGATCAGTGAGTCAGGTTACGTAAAACAATGTCCCGTGCTTACGAAGCTTCAAAAATGCCCGAGTGCGGAGTGTGTTGCAGACGGCGCCTGGATCTGTCGCTTGGTGGCGGCCACTCTCAGCTCTTCGACTTTGCCAGCCTCATTCAGTGCTTGACATACAATTGAGGCAGTTGTACGATAGTTTCACACTTGCCTAGCTGGCGGTGCGGGCTATGAAGTTTAAGCTCATCTGACTTGAAATTGCCGGATTACGCTCTCGCAACTCGGAACAAGCCAGACGAGGTTGCCGGATTAGGTTAATGTTGTTTTGATTTTTTCCTGCCAATTTAGCAGTTTGAGAGGTTCGGGTTTGACCAGCCCTTTTGCGAGTTCCAGCATTCTCATTGGCACAAGCCGACGACATCCTCACCCGTGGGCAAATTTCAGACTTTCGCGTGCTTTGGCTGCTGTTTCTCTCTCGTCTTGTTCTTTTGTGGCATCTTTTGATCGCCTCGGGCCTTCCTGTCAGACGCTGCCAAGCTCCTGCCAGGCCTTCCTTCCTCCACACTAGGGTTTCCTTCAAGGGTTCCTCTTCAAGGGATCTGAAAGGATTACTACAAGGGTACCATAATATAGGGGCCTTACAGTAATAATTACAATAGGATTTTGGGGCACATAAAAATGACGCAGGGCCCAAGGCCCCAGCGCAGGCCATGTCCGGACTGGGAGCCACAGCTTCACTCGGCAAGAGCCACGGAAGCCGGAAGACATAAAGTGAATCTGTGGTGGCCAACACTGCTTCAACACATGGGCACACAAGCATTGAGGATCTCACGTCTATCGGGCTTGTGTATGATTGCACATACAACTATTCCTACAGCTGCACCTACGCCATACCAAAACCTAAATCTTTATGCATGCAGTCCTATACTTGCATACTTACATTCGTAAATAGACACATATGTACATACGTACATGATAATGTATGCATGCATACATACAAGTCATACATGAATGACTCTGGTCCTACCTCCAAGTCCCAATTCATGCTTAGTGCCACTGGGAGACGAAGGGATCGCCCTCCAAGAAGCTGACGGCTTTCTCATCCTCCTGGTCCGCGCTAGCCTGCAATGGCTGCCAGCTGGGCTTACCTCTGCGTGCCCTGGTTTCACTCCCGACCCGTGCAGCATGAAGAGCACGCACACTAGACTCGCTGAATGCTCACCGCCCCATCCCAACATCACCCCACTGCTGACACTGTGGCCTCGGAAAGCCACGTGGACAGAAGCTCCTGAGCATCCTGCCGAGAGCCCCAGAGCCGAATCCAAAAAGAGTGTACAACTCGGATCGAGAGTCCTTGGAGGACAGGTCTGCATCGGCTTCGCGGATTCGGTGCTCCACTTCCTCCGGTGGGTCGTGAGGGGACATCGCAAGGAAACCCACGTGGACCAGACCCGAGGAAAGGTCCTTCAGCAGCAACCGGCATTTGACCCTCCAGTAGAAGAACTCCCGGGCACGCCGCCATTCCAGTCCCTGGAGCAGGGTCTCAGGATCCAGCACTTTCTTGAGCGGACGCAGGGTCCGAACACGGCGGCGCTATGCTTGCACGGGCCTTGCGAATCACGCCTTTGGCTTCCATGCGCCCGGTGCGATCGTGCAGGTCGGCAAACTCGCAAGCGATCTGAGTATAGAGGGGCTGAAGCTTGTCCTGACCGTCACGAACAGCACACTGGCTTCAGCTGCTTTAGCTGCAAGTCCGGTTTGATTGCATCAGCATTGCTTCAGGCTTCGCGCGGCCTCCCGGGCTTTGATCTGCGCTTCGATATCTTGCGCTGCGCTGCCAACCTCCGAGGATGAAGACTCCTGGCGCAGAGGCGGGTTCGATATGCAACAGCACGACAACGTCCGCACCGGCCTCGAGCAATGCATCGTACTTCCGAAGCTCGGGATCTAGTCGATGCATCAGTTCCTGCATGCAAGGCTTCCTTGCCTGACTTGTCTTGTGATGTCTTGTGAGAATTTGCACGATGCCCCTGCGTCGTTCGAGGCCACTCGGTCCTTCTGCTGCGCGGCACGGAACTTGACCTTCGCCGCTAGTGGGTGGTTTCGTTGGTTTAGATTCTCCCATCCGTCTGACAGATTTTCCCACTCTTGTCCCGAAGTTCCTGGCCTCCACGATTCCGGGTGGCTCAAGAATGCCGCCTCGAGAATCAACATCGGCATACATCTCCTGGCAGAAGAGTCTCTTGGCAGCATCGCTTTCTTAAAAGAAAAGACAACCTGCTTGCGGCTGAAGTTCCATCTGCTCCGGATTGATGGTCGGGTCGATGACGACCCACGATCCGCCACGCAGCTCTCCCCCTGGAGGAATGTACACAAAAACCGGGCTCTTGTACTCAACGAGCGCATCCACGATCTGCGCCCCAAACTTTAATACTTCCTGATACATATCGCGGGTGCCACCAGAGAAGCCACGCCAGTTCGCGAAAATGATCAAGGGAAGGTTCTCCCCCCGGTTGAAGTCGCGGATGGCTGTTGCTGTCTTGAAGGCACTGTCTGGGAACCATACTTGACCCGCCTGTGGCTCCACAACTTCTTGGCTGGCAGGGTTAGCGGGGTCCGCCGGGATCCGGCGGTCCACGTTGCCTCACCGCACCAGAAATTTTCATGCTTGCTGGAACGAGACCCCCGCACCCCTTTCCCCATTCCCCATCAGCCGGGGCTCGTGTCTCCACGGCAATGACGCCCATGGGAATGCCACCGAGCTTGGCCCTGCCCACGATGACGCTCCGCCCCCATCCAGCCAGATACCTTCAGCACCGCACAGGCATGGCCAATCAGTGGCAACGTGCACGATGCGCGATCGTCGCGGTTCTGCCAAGGAGCTCCCTAAACGTGCCCGCATCGAAGAAACCTGTGAGCTTGCTGCCCTCTGGTGTAGTTACACCTGGCACGCTTCGGACGCGGTGGTGTCGAGATCATGTGACAGACGCTTCGAGAAACAGATGGTGCCTAACATCAATCTACTCTAACCTGCTTGGTGCATGACAAATCTCCGCCAGGCAGACCTTCCAGCATGTGCCGTGGGTCGTAGGGCGTCTTCGAGGGAACAAAGGTGACATCGCGCGAGACCGGATCCACAGGGTCCAGGAGCGGCGGGTTGGCCGAGGCCACTTTGGGCACAAAGGACCTTTCAGTTCTTCAAGTGGAGTCCATTCATGACACTTTTCTGGCAGACATCTCTCAGGATCACTTGAAGCTTGAGTCGAGTCACAACCAGTCAAGGATCGCGGCGACCCCTTCTGTGTCATCTGACACCACCTTCAGGCAGAATGCTGCATGTGGCGAGCAAGAGGCTCTGATCACGTCAATTCCCTCAGTATTGGACTATGACAGAATGTTACTGATTGCAGTTCCACCTGGTGCGTCACACCGTTCGGGACCATGACTTGAGGTCCACCGAGCTGATCTTGCGAGGTGTAAACGTTCTTGCCCAGGAGCTTGTTCAGGGCAGAGAACCCTGCGAAAATCCACGAAGCATGCATATGTACGTGTATATATATATATATATAAATAAACAAATAAATAAATCAATACATTCATGCATACACACATATAACCGTATCATGCTTTCATTGCGAAGAGTTTCGTATGCAGACCGCACGCATGTGCACGAGACCATCTCCTAAATCCTGTTGAGTTCCTATCCCATCCATCCATGCATCCATCCATCAATCCATCGCTCCGGCTGTCGGACACCCTGCATCCCTCCGTCCACCCAAGGACACATGGCGTGAGCGAGAGTAATTACAAGATAGAAAGGAAAGCGAAACGACTGGTTGACATTTAGCTCGGCGGAACGATCGATACATGTCTGGAGCGAGGGAGCGAGGGAGGGAGAGAGAGAGACAT